AATTGTTAGCATAGAGGTGAAACTTTCTTGCAACCAAGAAGGAACAGGCCTGACTCAAAGGGGGAAAAAAGGGATGCTTTTGTTTTGTGTTTTTCTTTTGAATTGTGTCATAGAAAACCTTAAGTGGAAAACACACAATTTCAGGGAAGATGCTTAGATGGTATATGTGATACTCTTACTGTTTTCAGAAGTAGCATCAATCACTATCACCAAAGCTATGATTGGAGGCTTTAAGAGAGTGAGAACCAATCCCTACCAGCTTTACTGCTGGTTCGCTTGTGTGCGCACTTTGCACGAGTGCATGCACAGTTCAATTAAACTTGTTCTGCGCATGCACAGAACTTAAAAATAAGACAGTGCTGACTGGAGAACTGGTTCGGGGACGTGACAGGTTTCAGCGACCCATACCGCCATACCACTACCGGTTCGGCCAAACTGGGCCAAACCAGGAGGGACCCACCACTGATCCCTACCATAAGTATCTTGCAGTTATTGAAAGAAGCTATAGTAACATTTGTATCCAGGGCCTTCCAATTTCTGAACAAGCTGTGCAGATATGCTAATATGAACCATATGGCACAAAGAGGCAACTTCTTTCATTACCATCTGAGTAAGCTCCTCTGAAGGTTGGTAGCCTGAAGGAAGCCACATGGAGCCTTGTGAATGGCCTGACATTATGTGCCACATCCAAGAGAAAAGAGAAAAAGGAACAAATATATTGCACAGATGATGGTTAAGGGAGGAAGAATCAACTTCTCAATTAATAGTTTTCTTCTCCACAATTGAAATCTTACTGCAGCAGCAGAGTTTCTATTTGTTCAATAATAAGATAATAAGAATATGGCTACAGAAAGTCATCTGTATTGTTACCACTTCAAGAAAGAAATGCAGAGTGTCAGCTATACTACTATATGTTGTGACTATGATTGCTTACAAATGTTCCAAGCCACATGACAAGTATATCCAAATGTTTTAACAGTGAAGGGAATAAAGAACTAACAGCAAGCTATCAAGCAGCAACAGAGATCTGACACATAGCACCATACAATAAGACAGACGGATGAATAGAGGATAATATAGTGATTTTGACTATTAAATTGGGTTTTTTTATGCCCTTGAAGATGTACCCATAGGAGATTTCTGGTTTGTGATATTTCATCTGTGTTTGCTTCCTTGAAAATATTATGAATGCTAAGTAAAATACTGTATGTAAAATATCCTCCTTACCTACAATTGTAATTTAATGAAGATTTAAGGAAAAAGGAAAGTCTTCTTTCACTATCTGCCATGTGCCATTTTTTTACAGTATACAGTTCCGTTGTCATGAAAGTCAAGGTCACCTCCACAGCGAGCAGCCAAACACACACACACACACACACACACACACACACACACACACACACACACACATATGTGTGTGTGTGTGTGTGTGTGTGTGTGTGTGT